CCCCCCCGGTGTTTACCATCGGGGTTAGAATTTCGTCGCCTGGCAACGACGTTGTAAAACAAGCCCCCCCCCTCGGTGTTTGCCATCGGGATTGGGTTTTATCGCTTGGCAACGACGTTGTAAAACAAGCCTACTCACCTCGTGAACTCGGCAACCAGGTTACCGGTTTTTTTTTTCACCTCTGTTTTTTTTTTTTGACGGTAACCATAATGGTGATCGAGTAGATCATGTTGTGCGGGGTCGAGAACCCTCACTCCGCGCAAGGGGGATGATCGCACCACGTTGTGTTAAAGTGGTCAAGCACCCTCGAGGCAGTTATACAGTGCTTACAACTGTCTCAGGAAGTGAAGCATCAGAAAAAAAATTAAGTCATACGCAGCTGTCATCCGTACGCAAGGAAGNCCCCCCCCCCCCCCCCTGTCTTTTGGTCTTGTTGATCAGATGGTGTACCTGTGGACGGTGATCAATCCCAATGACGAAGACAGAGTTACTACCGTCCTGGACCTGAGGGGAGTCACACTGGCAACAGCCACCAAGTCGGACACCATGAAGTTCACCAAGCAGTGCGTCAGCATGATGGCCACGCACTACCCAGAGGTATGTTTGTTTTTGTTGTTAGCGTCGACCGCGCTATCCGGCTGACCAGTAAAGAGGCGTCAGTCTCAGTGCGGTTGAAAAACACAAAACACTTCTTAATGCCATGAACTGGGACCCCGTGAGGGGGCGGCATGGGGGAGGCTAAGCTATTCTCCGGATTGAAGACAGTGTGTGTGTAGACCTGCGTGCTGTGCGTCCCTTGTTTTTCGTTATTCACTTTTTTTTTCACACATGTCTCATCCTCCTCCTCCTTACAAGTCAGTCCTTAATCCTATCTTCTTGACCCCTCCTCCTTCACTTCCCCTGGCGCCGCCATCGCGTTTTGCTAACATACAACCACGGCGGCCATGGATGGAAAATTGAATGTTAAATAACGCTGACGGCCTCGTCCTCTCGTTTTTTGTCACCTCCGCGCGCGCAGCGGTCCGCACATCTGATGCTCCTGAGCTGGCCGCGATGGTTTGACTGGATATACCGTTTCATTCGACCTCTCATTTCAGAGTCCACCAAGAGCAAGGTGACCATTTTTTGTTGTCAATAGTCTATTACGAGTTTTTTTTGTTGTTGTTGTCGTCACTTCATATGATAGCTCACAACATTTGTGCCGGTACCTCAAAACCCGTGGTCACACAGAAGGTTGAAAAACTCCGAAAAAGACCAAGGTGGGAGTGCATATCTGTACTTGAGCCGCAACCACTCCGCGCGTATCCTGGAAAAGCGAAGCCAACCAACCCAAAAGAATCGGAATCAAGCTTGTGCCAGACTGTGTCAGACAATGACAACGTTGCCCGTCAACACAAGCAACGATCTAACGGATGTTTGTGGCGGGAGATGGCGTGTCCCAGTTGGTGCCCACAACCGGGTGCACCAGCTCTTTGATTTTGTAGAACGGGACAATGCCTCGACCGGTTCTGTGTGTTTTTTGGTTGATCAAATATATTTGTTTGTTGCAATAGTCACCCGGGCAGATTTCCACCACGGTTAAGATGAGGCGGAGTTGGGCCGATCGTGTGCTGTCGGTCGCAGCACTTTTTTTTTTTTTTTGTGAATCATGGGCTTCGATCTCGGGCCTACGGAAAGTCTTACAGAATCAGCGCGGAATGGCTATAGTGAAAAATGCTCTCCAACCCATGTGTTGGTGTGTATGAGTTCGAAGCTCTTACAGCATGTCGTCCTGGCATCTGCCCCCCTTGCACTCCCACCCATCCCGGCCCACTGCTCTGGCGTGGTCGTTCGTTCTACTCTATCAGATGACGTCTTGCACGGCGAACAGCGTGTACGAGACGCTTCTGTCGAAGATCGACAACGACCAGATCCCCAAGGAGTACGGCGGGGCGTCCGAGTACGCGCTTGGGGAACACCCTTACGAGGTAAGTTTTAAGTCTTGGTACCACGCTCGTCTAGTGTAAAATTCATTGATTACACCATGTAACCGGGTCTAACAGAGAGTAGCACGGGTTTGTGTGACACTTCCTAGGCCGGATATTAGAGGTAGTTCTATTGTGTGTGAGCGGTACAAGTGGCACGAGGTGAGTTTTATACCACGCTCTTAACAGCGTATAGTTGATACTTTTCCCCATGTGACGCAAATCTATCGGAGGGTGACACCGGGGTTCGTACGGTACCTTCGAGGCCGGGTAGTAGACGGGGGAACTTTCGCTAGTGGGCCATAATTTTGGGCGGCTTGTCCGTATCTATCGGAGCGTGAATGGAACTGTACCGCACTTGCGAGGTCCAATTGTAGAGGGGCTAGAGCTTTGGGCGGTTCGTTTGACCACGGGGCCGAGGCGAGCCCCTTGGCTGCCGGGCAGGCAGCGATACCGTGGGACACAGCTAAGCGTACTCTTATGTTCTGCATGCCTTAGCGGTTAAGACCATTCACCACGGGTCTCCAGAGGCGGGGGGTAAAGCGCGCGTGGCGGGGGTAAAATAAAATGATAGCTTAGCGCTCCTTTTGGCGTTATTTTTTTGGGTAGAAGCTCCAGGGGACAGGCGAGAGAGAGAGGCAACCTCTTGGTCTACTACGTTCAACCGTCCCTGTCTCTTCTTTGTGTGTGTGTCTCTCTCTCTCGCTCTCCATCTCTCTCTTCGCCGTGTGTGACAGGTTGCCATGAGAAACTCGGTGGTGACAGTTCTCGAGGAGAATGACGTCGCGATGGAACCCGCGAGAGGTTGACCCCACACACGCCTCCTGTCTTGGAAAAGGTTGTAGCTACGCACGTGTGTCCGTGTAGATAAGCAATAGCGATATAGTGGCCCCGGGCAGTGAATGCGCCGTGCGAGATTGGCGATGGAGGCAGCGAGAAGATTTGTGCAATAATCATCCGGGGGAAAGAAGAATATAGATCAATGTTTGGTGTGCGCAAATCGGATCAGAGATATGCTGTTGATGTCTAGGTGCCCGCGGCATAGATAGGAGGAATGGATGGAGATGGTTGTTCCTTTGTTGAGGGCGCAGCAGCCCGTGTGATGTGTTGCCCCCCGACGCTCGACGTCTATGTCTTTTTGCCCGTGCGTGCGCAATTTTGTTTTTGTCCAAAGTACGGCAAAGGTATTCTGCCTTAAAGGAGCGCAGTTGTTGTGCGTGTTGAGTTCAGGAGTGACCGAACTATCATAGAGCTGATTTTGTACCCGTAGAAGACCATTGTGTACGGGTGTTGAATGTCAGTAGAACGAGATTTTTAGGAGAGTGTCGACCCGCGTGCTCACGTCGTGTGTTGTGAACGGGCAAAAAAAGAGATAACAGTAGAAATTTTCGTTTTGTTGATTTTCCCCAGAAGCTTGTGTGCTCACGCCAGGTGTTTTGAAAGTGCAAAAAAATAAATGGTTGGGGCCATATGAGGTGCTGGGCATAGGCTGCATAACAAGCGTAAATCTTCGTGTTGATGCTGATTTCCCCCAGATTTGTTCGATGGACCTGAATAAGGTAAGCGTCATAAAAAAAATGCCCAGGGGGAGTAGGGTTCAATCGCCATAAGCGACATAAGCGACAAGCTTTCTTTCGTGGTTTTTCGCCGACTGCTGGGGTGCAGTACTTGGCTCTTGCGTGTTTTGTTTTTGCGGTGTAACTTTTTTCCTCGTTCGTTGCTCTCGACTAGACTACTTTTGATCATACTTGGTGTTGAATTTCACGAGCATTCCGCACGCCGCTGTGATGAGGCTGGACAGCTAGACGACCGTTCGCCAGGGTGTTGCTGTAGCGTTACGCGTTTGCAAGATAAGGCCATCGATGAAAGAGATAATTGTCAAGGCGCCTTACGTGCCAAGGGAGTCAGTTCTAAACAGCTCCAACAATAAAACAGGGTCTGTCCATCTGGTGTCACAGTTTTTAGATTTTCCATGTTGCGGGTCTCACACACAGACTCCATATTTTGGGAGTTATGTAGAACAACAGGCGTTGCAACTCCCCTGTGCCTCGCACGAGCGAGGTTCCAGATGACTTGCTGGCTGGAAGAGCGCGTGAATTGAACGTGCTAAAACGTCCTCACGGCGTGTTGTTGGTGAAATGTTGTCGTTGCCCCTTGCCTTACAGTCGTCGTTGTTTCTCGCATCGGAATCTCAACAGCAAATACATGTACCCAAGGGTCACGTCAGCCGCAATGCCTGCAAGGAGAGGAGCGTAACATGCAACCACATGGCGCGGTCCCGCCGCCAATATCACACATCTGTTTCACGCCTGTTTACATCGAGAAGCAAGAGGTTTGGGCATGCTCAACCACACCGACACGCAAACCACACCGAACCACCTTCCACGAACCACCAAAAACATCGGGCGATATCACCACCTCCGGTAACGCTCATCATTAACAAGCGTAGAGCTTGACTTATGAGGACAACACAACGCGGGATTCAGACCCGCTGGGGCGATCTTGGGCCTGTTTACAACTTCACACACAATAGCTTCGAGCACTCCACACACACGCATTCCCTTCATTCGGAGAATAGCTAAAGTCTCCCCCGTGCCGCCCCCTCACGAGGTCCCAGTTCATGGCATTTAGAAGTGTTTTGTGTTTCAACCGCACTGAGACTGACTCCTTTTCATTGGTCAGCCGGTTAGCGCTGTCGATGCTAACCATGTAACAAAGACGGGCATAGGACGTCTCTAGCAGGAAGTCATTGCGTTTGATCCGGGGGGCAAATCATCCGTGGACTATTCTTAGCCAAACCACGAAAAGGTGTACCCCCTTTCGGGGTAATAGTTGGCATGTGACCGCGGAAGGTGTCCGCATCAGTTGGACCGGTACGCACATTAGTCTAGAAGGTATTGAGCGGAGACCGGAACAGCTTCTAACATCTAACGTAACAACAACAACAACAACAACAACAACAACAACAACAATAACAACAGAGAAAGGCAACAATCCCGCCGCCGCCCCGATGAATAATTAAATAATTCTACCGACCACTACCGACGGCGGCAAGCCGGAGGCGTAAGGCTTCTATCGTCGCCCGCTGCCGGCGGACAACGTCGCTCAAGGACTCCTCGACGGTGGAATCGTCGCCTGGAACGTCGTTCAAACCGGGGTGCTACATACCGTAGGGAAAGAAGAGGACACGATGGAGCATAATAGACCGGAGTTCGGGAGGAGGGGGGAGGACACGAGGGATTTCGGCGTTAGGGGGG